CTACACGACTTGTCCTCACCGTGCTGTTGCGGCTCTGGACAAGCAGGAAAATCATTAAGCTCTTACGACTTCAACAGACCAGGGAAGCCAAAACTGCACCTCATTTCTCAACTTCTAGCGTTTCCTCTCATTTCCTAGAGTTTAACAGCATCACACATACCAAGGTAGCCAGAGCCTGGCATATTTTGCCTTCCAAGAAGATGGGAAAAACACAGAGGATGACTGACAAAACCAGCTACCCACCCAGACAGCAGAACAGCTTGTGGTACTCTGTGCAAGCCACTGGCTACCTCCCCACAACTTCTCCCTGCCTCGAGGCACCACAGGGGAGAGTTTGCAAAAGCTAGATCAAGCCAGGAGCTCCAGGACCAGCTGGAGGAGATGGGGGTGGCCATGGTTTCACCTGTTTGCTCAGGCAAGAGGTTTTGGGGTCTGGAGAAGGGGCAGCCTGGGTTGCTGTGACTGGGGGAAGAGCCAGGACAGGAGGAAAGTGAGTAGGAGCAGTGCTGTGGAGAGTGGTGTGCTTGCCAGGATGGCCTCTTGCTGTAGAGCTGAGGTTGGGGGCTGGTGGGACAGGAGCTTGAAGGCAGGAGTGTGGGGGGGACAGGGCAGGGCTGACATTCCTGTCAGTGTCGCACCAGGGAAGCCCAGCCTCAACGCTCAAAGCCAGGCCAGGAGAATGGTGTACCAGCTGCTCTCTACCTGCTCCAGGAGCTGGCCCAGGCCACGGCAGTGGTGGGGATCTGGGAAATGCTCCTGGAAAATGCTCGGCAGGCTTTACTGCTGTGCCAACTGGCTTGAAGGTCTGGGTGTCCACTGGAGGAGGGGGCAGCAAAGCATTCCTTTCTAACCATCTTTCCAACCCAGGCTGCAAGAAGGCAGCGAGGGTTGTTTTGGCTTGTGCCTCACTCACACAACGATGAGAACGCGGTCCTGGATCTTCTGCAGGAGCTTCACACACTGTTCGACCGTGAGGGACTCTCGATCCTGCTGCAGGTGCAAAAATAGGAAGAGCAGCAAAGGTGAGGGACAGCAGCTGGGGGCAGAGGATGTCCCCAAAACCTGCTGCATGAGCAGCTCTGAAGGCTGCAGCCCTGAAGCTCCTGTGCTGGGACATGACAGGCAGCCAGGCTGTGCACAAGAGTAGCTGGCTCTGCAAAGGCTTCTGTCCAGCTGTGTTTCAGGGCTGCCAACAACACTGCCTGCTGGGATGCAGCACATATGGGAATGATCTCATAGCAGAGAAAAGCTTTAAAGAATCCTTTTACTAAAAAGGAGACATGACTCTACTCTGGCTTTCATAGCCTGGCAGTAGCACAGGTAGAGGAGGCCCTGCTTGCCCAGAAATGGCACAAAGCTATCAAAATATCAAACATGAGGATTTTGCTCCACTCTAACTCCCCTTCCTGTATGGGTGACCTGACAAAGAATCTGACTAAAGGCATCCATCCATCTGCTGCCTGAAGAGTTCTAACAGCAGGAAAATGTGGCCAGGAGGCCCTGGGGCAGAGGAACTGCTAAAAAAAAAATCAGTTAACATTTTCCAGTGACTCTGCAAGCTGAGTCAGTTAATTATCAAATGCAGGCTCTATTAACAGCAGCATTTACAGATGTGGGAACAAGGGAAGCAGAAAGTAAATGGCTGGGTGGAGGCAGGGCGTGGGCTCGGTGAGTGGGCCTCCACTATCCCTGAGTTTTCTGCAAGCTCCGGGCTCAGAAGCAGCAAGGGGCACGTCAGAAGAGCAATGCTCACCGTACGGACTCTCATGTCTCTGTTATACACCAGCCCTGGAATGAAAACACAAGAGAGAGTCTCACAGGAGTTGCTCAGTTTCTCCTCACCTTTGGGGTCTGCCCAAGACTTTTTCTGAGACAGAAGGAACAGGATTAATTCAGTCCCTTTCCACCCGCAGCATTGGCCCGGCACTGAGATGAGCCCTTGTCTCCACCGCAGCCCCTTACCAGCGGGTGTCTCAGTTGCTCCTCGCTGCAGTAGGATTGCCCCACCCTCTGCTGTCAGATGTCTGTTTGCTTCTAAGAGCCTGGGGGAGACATGGCAGAGAGATTGTGCTGCTGGAAAAGGGAGGAAGTGAAGCGAAAATGGCATGACAAGGTGACAACGAGCTCTCAGGCTGCTTCAGAAAAGAGCAGGAAGAAGCAGCAGCTTCTGGCAGCAGAAGCAAAAGGTCTCGCTGAGATTCTAGAGGAGGATTTGAAAAGGGAAGTGCAGGGACAGTTTCCATTTCTCGGCCCAACTCGGTCCAAGGTGAGAGCAGGCAGCAAACGAAGAGGACAGCTGGGAACCCACCTCTGCAACGCTGCTTCGGGACTCCGTGCTTTGGGAGTTTGCTGCTTTGCCTCTAGACTCAGTAACCTGTCAATCACCATCCGTTTTGATTTCAGCCACGCCTCCGTGTCCTGAAACAAAGAGGGGTGAGGGAGCAGGAGTAACCACTCCCTTCTGAATAATTTTATCCCTTCTCACAGGGTAAAAAAGGGCATTTCGCAGTTCAGCATCCCTGAGAAGTGGTGCCAGTTTGGACATATTAAAAATGCCCATTTCTGGGGAAGAGGCAACAGCAATACTTAAAAGGCAAGGCAGGAATAGAAAGTCTAAGCATTACTGTCAAAAAACTTAGCTTTTTAACCTTGCAGTCCTTTCTATGTCACTTTTGAGTTGATGACAACTGTCTAAAAGAACAAGGGAAATCTGCTATTTTTTGCCTCCCTGACCCTAGGCTTCTGTCCTACTGCTGCCAACCAAAGCCCCAGCATCTGGTAGTGATGATGGCAGGTTGGGAATGTAGCTTTACATCCTGCCAGGAACAGAAAAAGAAATCCTGCAATCTTGCACCCAGGTCACCCAACAAGCTGTTGGCAAAAAGACAACCTCAGCTGGCAACTGTTTGGACAGAGGTTCCTGTCCCCTTTGTACACAGGCATGGCACAGACAAGTGAATTTTGGTGCTGAGGGACTGCAGGATGTGGAGCACTACCAAGTGTCCCCCAAGGGCCACCCTAAGCAGGAACCTCAATCCATCCAACAAGGAGCAGATCTGTTCCTGCCAAAAAAAAGAGCCCTGAGACTCGTGCGACTTGCCAGGAACTGGTCACATCAGTGCTTTCTCTGTACAAATAAGGGAAAGAAAAGAATAATCTCATTCTTATTTCAAAAAGGGAAGGGAAGGGGTGGCATGTGAAATCTAACCTCTGGAGCTAGCAGAAAGCCAAGATTTTCCAGCAGGATCAGCTTGTCCACCATCTCAGGATAGAGGAAACTGAACTGAAGAAAGAAGAAACAATATGAGGGAAAGA